CCTCTGTTGACCTACACACGTGCCAAGAAATACCAAAATAGTTTGAATATAACTTGAACGGTTTAAGCCTAAGATTGTTATTAAAGAAGTTTTATCGCCTAACGCTTTAAATTAGGCAAGAAATAGACTTCAGTCGGAATTGTAGCTAGGATTGAGGTTCTTTCTTGGTGAAGGATTTAAGCAAGAAGAAGCAGAAGTTGATCCCCCCTCCTGCTACCCTTTACACATAGCCCACATAGCTCGTAGTATATCCGATTCCCCACCTCCCAAAGTTGCTAAGTTGCTGCCTCTGTAGCTGCTGATCTTGCAACACAAGATGCCTGCTTTGGAATTTGAGTAAAAATCACGCATCGTCTTTCCAAAGTAAGTTACAAGTTTACGACTTGAGGGGCGCCACAATGTTGCACATATGGCAACGGCAATGCAAATGTTGCATTTGACCTCGAAGCGGTCGGTCTCGACTGCATTTGCGGCATCTGCAACATGCTGAGTGCGTGTGTCCTTGTGACTTTTAACACCCTGCCACAAATGCTGGCGACAACTGCCACAGCCGCGCCTACAGCAGAGCCCTGCAGCCAAATACAATAAACGCCGGCCGCATTTCGCGCACGTTCACGGTCCGTCGTCCCATGTCCCAGGTCCCAGGTCCCAGGTCCCTGGTGCCTGGTGCGGCCATGCCCATGTCCAGAGGCAGTTCGGCGTAACGTTGCTGCACACATGTGCAACATGCGGCGACACATGCGCGCTCGCCTCTCATGTGGCAATGTGTTGAGTCCGACTTACGATGCCCCCGCTGCCCCGGCTGGCCCGGGCACTTAGCCGCTTTTCCAGAGTATTCAAGATTCCGACTTTGCTAAGCGCGGCTGCAACCGATTCGTGTGCGTCTTGTGTTGACTTTAGCCACCACGCAGAGGCGCACCCCAACCAAGACTAACAACAACAACAACAGCAACAGCAATAAGAACGCAAAGTAGAAGCCACGTGAAGTTCTTGCTGCTGTTGTTGTAAACGCTGCGTAGGTAGTTTTTCATAAGATTCATTCAAATCGCTTCGCTTTCGAGTGCAGATGCAGTAGAAGAAGAAGCAGTTGATGTTGTTGTTGTTTGGGCTGATGAAGATGTTTGTACTGTTTATGTGAACTCATCAACATGCATTTTTTACAACTCAAGCTGCTTTAATACCTAAAACCTTCCTCGAAAGACGCAGAGAAATCGTGCATGTTGTTTCAAGGAAACATTCAGAATCTCGCTCTTCGCAATTACAGGGTATTAAATGAGTATTACTTAACTCCAGGGAAAGTCAGACAAAAATATAAATATAAATATAAAAATAAATATAAATATAAATATAAATATAAATATAAATATAAATATAAATATAAATATAAATATAAATATAAATATAAATATAAATATAAATATAAATATAAATATAAATATAAATATAAATATAAATATAAATATAAATATAAATATAAATATAAATATAAATATAAATATAAATATAAATATAAATATAAATATAAATATAAATATAAATATAAATATAAATATAAATATAAATAAATATAAATATAAATATAAATATAAATATAAATATAAATATAAATATAAATATAAATATAAATATAAATATAAATATAAATATAAATATAAATATAAATATAAATATAAATATAAGTATAAATATAAATATAAATATAAATATAAATATAAATATAAATATAAATATAAATATAAATATAAATATAAATATAAATATAAATATAAATATAAATAAAATATAGAAAATATAGAAAAAATAAATGATGCTTTGTCAATAATTTATATTTCATATTTTCTTGGGCACATTTTGATCCTTTTCTAGCGGAAATTGTTTTCTTGGGGAAACCGTTTTGCATTTTAGCCACATTTCCCTAATATCATAATAAGACCTGGCTTAATATAACGAATATCTCATTGGGCTGAGGCAATTTCAATTCTATTTGACCAACTTTTCGCATGGCCCGACGCCCATCTCAAACAATTTGTATGGTTGGCAAATAAAGAAGCAGCAGCGGCAAAAGCAATTAGGCCAGTAATTACTTTGGGCTGTGTGTCAAGTCAAATTGAATAAAAAGCCTGGAAGCTGCAGCCAAAGAGAACACCTCAAACGGATCGGGGCATTAGCATTGCCTAATTACATTTCAATCGCATGACTTAAAAGGCGCTTAAACTCTCAATCGTTTCATCAAAAATATGAGCACAGCATTTTTCGAGGGTGTCAACGGGTGTGTGTGTGTGTGTGAGGGTGTGTCTGAGTGTGTGTGTGCGCTTTGAGTGCAATTTAAATGTGATTAGATGCTGGTTTAAGGACAATGCCACACGGCATATCAAATAAAAATAAGAATCAAGCAACAGGCAACAGAGTCAAGGTGCGCGACGTCAAAATACCCTGTAAAAAGTCTATAAATTATTGTTGTATAACTTAAGCCTTTATTTCCGCATCTCCTTTTAATACTCAAATGTTTGCATATGCCCAAAATGGAAGCATATGACATAAGGGTAAAGTTATCTATACATATATGCCACACAGACAATCCCTTCTCTAGTTCTTCAGAGGCGACAGATAAACAATTGGATCGAGAATATATATATGCTATATCTGCTTACATTATATGCACTTGCACAACTTTATGATACCCTTTCTTTAATAACTAAAGTGTACTTTCTGTTTCTAGACAACAACAACAGATATTGTATCTTTTGTCAACTGAAGCGTTACTGAAACGTGCAACAAGGAGACACACTCGAAAATGTCCATGACCCTCCCACAGCCCCCTCCATCGAAATCTTGACGCTGCTTCCCGCTGCGCCCCACTTTGTGCCCCCTCGGCGCATAAATACTGCACGGTTTGCTTCGCTTGCCGGAGTTGCCTAATCTAATCAATTTTGCTCAATGCTTTTGTTCTGTTCTGCTGCCCGCCCACGCAGAGGAGCAGCAGCCGATGCCGCCGCAGAGCAACAAGAGGCAATGCCAAGCAGCCTGTCAGCTTCAATAAGGCAACGTTAACATGTGTGTGTGTCTGTGGCAGGGGCAAGGTGTGCGATGAGTGTGTGTGTGTGTGTGCGAGGGAGTGTGGGCTTGGGTAGTTTTGGTGCCAAGCGCGAGCGGGCGGTGAAAGCATTTCACTGTTTGCATCAATGATGAGCAGCTGAGGAGGAGGAGGAGCAGGAGGAGGAGGTAGCAACGGCTGCTGCCATGGCGCTGTTAAAGTGGCCAGAAAACGTGGCCATGACAGGTTAGCATGCCCCCTCCCCCCAACCCCCGCCCCCCTCAATCACTAAATGTAAATCCTCTGCTGCCCAGCCCCACCCCCACCCGCTCCCTCTGCTGTTCCATTGTCGCGGCAAACTGAATTAGTTAGCAGCAAAAATTTGAACTGTTTTAAGAACTTTCGTGAATTACGAATCACAAATTTCGTATATGTATCGAATATACAAATATATATTGTTAAGTCACAAAGAAACACTTTCATGCCCGCATGTTTGGGTCTACTTTTGGACAGATTTTGGACAAATTTTAACCCATTTCCCCGAACGTAGTTTGGGCCCAGTTTTGTGACAGCGCGCGCAAATGGCAAATAAAAGTTATACAAAATTGGCAGCAGAAATATTTCACATGCAAATGCTTTGGCAAGGACACGTTGCACTAAAAAGGTTTTCTCTGACCAGCCCACACACAATGTGTCCACCAATTATAATTGAAATGGATGCCCGCACACACACACACACACAGAGCTAGACATCTGCATAAAAGATATCTGTTAAAAGATTTCAAGGTGAGGCTCCTTTAATTGATTTGGACACGCGGATAAATGAAATTCCTTCCAGTTGAAATTTAGAAACTAAGTAAATCCCAATGCATAAATCATGCGCTTGTTGATAATATTAAAAGTATTTTCATGTTTCCATTATTGGTTCAAGGACAATTTGATTCTGTATTTATTAAAACTGTTCATATTAAAATCAAGTTTAGTTGAGATTTTCTTAAAATGATGACAAAATTGTTGTATTGATTGTTTTCGGAAAAGCATCTAAGTTTTATTATTGTGAAAAAACACAAAGAATGGATATAATTAACTCATGTTCGGTTTCCAGGAAAACAAAATGTCAACGCAAAAATATCAAATTTATATATTTTTATATATTATTCATAATCTGTGGTATCTGTTGCATAAGCCCGACGACCACAAATCGAGTTATTAGTAATTGAATTTATTGTATATTTGCTCAAGCTGTGCGCGGCTTGTGAGGCATGTGGGTAATCATTTTGAAATCAGCTTCCATAGCAGGCATATATCAATCATTATGACTATGCTATTTTGCCCGGCTGTCTGTCACAGGCTACACACACACACACACTCGCACACTGATACAGACAGCTAAGAAACCCATAAGCAGATATACACCTGTATGTAGCGGTAAGTAAAACCCACAGAAACTTTAACTGTTACAAGGGCAGAGCGAGAGACAGGGCGGAGAGAGGAGCATACGCCCCGCTGGGCAGGTAAGGGACATCAGTGAGACAGAGACAGAGGGAGGGGGACGTGCAGGGGGTGACAGTTGGGCACACACATTGAAAATTGACAGCTTGTGTGTGGGTGTGACACACACACACACGCACACACACAGTCAATACTTGCAATCGCATCCTGTTGCCGTCTCCTCGCATAATATGATATATATTTTTAATGTCTTTATTATGTTCCATTGAGCGTAAATATTTGCCTTGTGCACAAACACAACACACACACACACACACACACACACACCTTCACATACTCACACAGACACACACACACACACACACACACAGGCCATAATACGCGGCACGTGCTCAGCGTTTCAACTTAAGCTACGACCAAAAAAAATATAAGTAGAAAAAAACTTTTCATTTAAGACGTGAAAACTGGGAAACTGGGAAATGGAAACTGAAAACTGAAAACCTTTTGCACTCACCTATTTCAAGTTTCCTTTTGCGTGCGCAAAACAACAGGTACAAAAAGTTTTGCTGCAAAATAAAAGCAAAGAAAATACAGTTTAGTAAAGGAAACAAGAGACAAGTGCTGCGACCTCGATTGTGAACGACTAGCAGCTACCCTGTAAATTCTATTTATATATATATATTTGCAAATGTGTGCTTAATTTCTTAATTTTAGTTGAATTAGCTTGTTTTCAGTTATTCTTATAATAAAACATGTTTTGTTCAAATTATTCTTCCACGCGTTTCGGCGTTTAATACTTTGATCAGACTTATTTATCATCTCAAGCTGTAAAAATATGCGATATATGATGATATATATTTGATCAACAACTTTTCTATGAACCTTTTGATGCTGCCTTTTGCTTGGGACAGCCTCATCTGCCTGCCTACAGGGTATGGAGAACAAAGCTGTTATTAAGTGAATCAAATGTGTACAATGAGTGCGTTTGAGCACTTTGTGTGAAATACTCGATTGGCATGACAACACTTGCTGGCTGGGCCAATTAATCTTGACTGTCGAAGCGTTTTTGAACGCCCCCGACAAGAAGTGGAAGAGGAAGCACGCGATTTATGACGATCAGTTCAATGTAACCTCCTGCCAAGAGGGTAGCCAAGCCAAGCCAGGCCAGCAGCAGCCGAAAGAGTTGCCCCCCCTGAGCTGGCTTAGCTACAGAGCACAGAGCAGCACACACTTTGCATGAGTTCAACTTGGCGAGGGGCATTGTCATCTTGTGCAACAGCAGCCAGAGCAATGCCAGTTTAAAGTTGAAAGGATACCATAAATCTTTGCAAGCTGTTCGGGTACTCGCAATCGCATGACGAGGCGCGCTTGACAGCATTGGCTTTAGCTTGTCTCGTTTTGCCAAAGCCAAGCAGCCAGCCAGCCAGACAGAAAGACATGCATATAGGCATTACTCTCATCTGTTCTGCATAACATCAAGCGCAAAAATTGCGCATTTCGTGTATTAAGACTGATGCGGCATTAGGGAGTTGTTCTTACAGCTTCATGTGCGTATCTTTGTTGATAAAAATGTGTATCAAATATTTATAAGCTTTGTGCACAATGTAAATGACAAGGCTCGAACGCAGCCTGAGTTTCGAACACGGTTATTTCGTTAGCCTCTTATGACTCGTTCAGTCAGACTTGTATTTTGATCCTCTTCTGCTCAACTGCTTTAACTTTTCTGAAAATATCATGCTTTTTAATAATTTGTAGATTCATTTGACAGCTTTAGCTGCACTGCTTCTTTTATACTTTTCCTTTTATAAATTAGAAAAGGCTTAACTGCAACAGTAACAGAAACCACTAAGAGAAACATTGACAGCAACAATAACATCAGTCTTAACAGTTGCCTTAACAGCAAGAGCAACACAAACGTTAACACTGAGAAAATCCTTAACAACAACATTAACATATACCTGAACAAGTTCACAAATGTTAACAGCAGTATTTACCGAAAACATACAACTAACAGAAACCCTAGCTCTAACATAAGCAACAACAGTTCTTACCCAAAAACAGGCGCCATAACAGCACAATCTGGCCAAAAACCCTAATACTAACAGATATCTTAACAGCAATATTAACAGAAGACCAAAAACTAACATAAATCATAGCAGTAACAAGAATCCTAGCAATTGCTTAAACATATACAGAAACAGTAGCAAGAGCACTAACAGAAACCCCAACAATAACAGCCAAGTTAACAGAAAACAGTAACATAATCCCTAATACTAACAGCATGCTTAACAGATACATTAACAGCAGCAGTAACAGATACCTTACAGCAGCAGTTACAGAAACCCAAACAGTAACATTTTCAGTCAGTAACAGTTACAGTAGCACTTTTTTCTTTAAATTAATTAAATTTCAAAATTTTAATTGTAGTTAGGAAATGAACATCATTCGGCACATTCTCTAATTGATGGCGCTCCCCTTAAACAGCCTATAGAATGTATGTATGATGTATATGTACTCAAAAATCAATTGCCAGCTGTTGTTTCACAGTCGCAGCAACGTTTGTGACGTCAGTCAGCTCAGCTGTTTATGGATAATTTTATACACAGTTGGGCAGCTCAAAAGTAAATCCTGCGAGCGCCTTCTATATATATATATATATATATATATTTTTCGTGTATGTTCAGTCAGCTGCTGGTCTTATGTCGCCCCCAAAAAAAATACAACAATTTAAATGGGAGAGAGGCGAAAAAAATACTAGCCAAAAAAGAAAACAACACACGCAACATGTGTGCACAATTTGTTGTTGCTGTTGTTTCTGTTTCTGTTGTTGTTGTTATTGTTGGCGTGCAGCACATGGCATCTCTGATTCGGCTCATGAAATGAACTGTATATGTGCCAAAAAGTCAATGATAGACAAAAGTACAAACACACAGACACACACACATGCATACAAAATATTTGTTTTCCAAGCAAGCACATTTGCCGGGGGCAGCTTCCTCTTGACTGCCACCGTTTCATGAGCTCAAGTATGCACATCCTTTTGCCGCTTCCTTTTTCAGGCATTCGGTAACATGGGCAATTGCATTGCTGAAATGCAGCTCAAGTGGCCGACGGGCTCTCTAGTTTAAATATGTTTATGACCCGCACCGTGCTGCTTAGTATGTGTGTGTATCTGTGTATGCTTGTATTTCTCACCTAGAGCAGCTCCATTGCGATCGGATCTTTTGTTAAGGGAATCTGCAGCTATATGCATATACATATATGTACATATATAATGTATGTGCTGCTCGTATATGTTTCCTTTGATTTTTGTTATTGAGCACAACTACACGCACACTAAGGCCTGCCTGCCAGTCTGTGTGTGTGTGTGTGTGTGTGTGTGTGTGTGTGTGCAGACACAAATGTTATTGACGTCGCCGTCCGGGCAACGTCGGGCACGCCGCCATCACAACGGAACCGCGCCGTAAGGGGCAGACCATACGTTGAGTCAGGGATCGAGTGCTGCGTGCCTCGGGCCTCTGGTCTGGGGGGCCTGATGGTACCGTTAAAAGAAATGCAATTAAAATGAATCTCTAGACCCCTAAAAACTTCAAGCAGCAGCCGTAGCCGAGGCAGTAGCGGAAGCAATTAGTAAACTGAGCAGTCTTCCCAGATATAATCCCATAGCAAATCTCTCTGGCCGACTCAGGCGTGCTCTACGTGGCATTTGGCTGTAGTTTCTGTAGTTTCTGTAGGTAGCTGTGCGCACATTGGGGAGAATGCACTTAAGCAAACGCATAATACATAAGCACATACATATACATACATATATATATATGTGTGTGTGTCTGCGTCTGCCCCCAGTCCCGTCAAAACGGAACACGTTTAATTTGTGGTGGCGTATATGCAATCCTTTCGACAAGGTCTTCCTCTCCATAAGCTCTAGCCAAGACAGTTCGTTACGCCCCGTGCGCGAAACATTCGTGTTCATAATTTTTATAATTTGTTGTATTCCCCAATTTTGCTGCACATACTTTGACAATTATTGGGGGGGAGGGGTAGGGGACTAGAAATAGAATTTACTTATGATTGATACCCATTGGGAATGAGGCACAGGCACGAGCACGGGCAAGAAAAGCATCTAGTATTAAAAGCATGATATGCAATTGTTAAATGATGCGACAATCATAAGAGAGCGCAGTCATTAAAATTCTCAACTAGTTTAGGCGCTGTCAGCCCGGTAATAGTCTTGCTGAAGTTTGACATGGCTCGCGAAGATCAATGAAGATTAATGAGTGCGACAAAAACAAAGAAGAAAAATGGAACTGAGAGATTTCTTGTAAAATAGGCACAACTAGCCAATGATATATGCCTTGAGCCATGACAAATGCTGCTTACAAACTTTTATTATAATTTTTTTAACCATTTGCTATAGGGTATGTGAAGTGAAAGAAATTGCAAGCTAAAAGGTAATAAAAACTATATAGAAATAATTTCAACTTCTATCAAAACTACTTTTCGAAAACAAAAGCATGCTTCTGCCGTGTCTACTATTGATTGTCTTATTAGTTAGTTCAATTTAGTATTTATTTAGTTTCCGTTTAGCACCATATTTGTAGACAGATTGGCGCAACAGATTAATAAACACAGCAAATGGTCGCAACAACTAATTGCAAGGCAGCCAATGCCAGACGCGCCTCCTTTTTGTGCCGCACTGTCTGGACATTGTGGACCACCCAGCCGGCAGCTGTTGCAACAACAAATTGCCAATGAAGACAACATGGATAATATAAGCCAATAAAAACAAACATTTATATTCAAAACATTGAATGGCCTGATGCAGACATCCATAGACAATCTATGTATAAAACTGTTTAACTGGCGATCCGTCTGCCTCTCTGTCTGTCTGTTGATATATATATCTATATATATGTATGTAGTCTGTGGTCTGCGGCGTTGCATAAATAAATGTTCAGATTTAGCAGCGGCACGTGCCAACTTGTTAAATACATATATATCTATATATGTATATATAAATATCTATATCTATAAAAATATCGTCTAAAATTCGAAAATACAATTTGTGTAAATATAAGCGCAGGCCAATTAGCAACAAATCAATTGTTTATTTGGATTGAAGATCGAAGAGAAATGCAAGAGCCAAAATGAAACAATTGATAATTTCTTTTACTACAAAATAATCACTAAATGACGGGGGGGGTAGCGACTGGGTAGGGGGAGTAGGGCAGGGTATGGCAGCTGTAAGTATTTATAAGTTGCGACCTGTTGTCTGCCATTCATTCAGAAACAACAAGTTGGCCAAAATAACACGGGCAAAGTTAAATATAAAACAAAAACAAATGTTAAATTTAGTTATGGATATTTTTGTGTTGCAAACACACACACACACACACAAACGTGAACAAATAAACACACAGCCAAAATCTATAAAAATTATCCTTTTTATTTATAAAGCAAACCAAACGTACAACGAACCAACAAATTGATCGAAAGCCGCGTGCCAAAACGGAACGCCACAAAAATCACGAGCAATAGTTAGTTAACACAAAATGGCGGCCGTGCGATCAGCCTTTACATTTGCACACACATAACTTTCGCTCACTTACTCACTCACTCTCTCTCTCTCTCTCTCTCTGCCGAAAAGCGCCTGCGCAAAATGCTGCCAAGCTTTGTCTAGGTGTGTGTGCGCACATTCATGTGACTCACTCTCACTCACTCACCTACTCACCTCACTCTCACTCTCTCGCTCACTCTCTATTCCACTGTCCTGAGCATTGCTTGCGTGTGCGGCCATTTGCATTTTCTGTCTAAATATAGACAAGCGCTGTGGTCGCTGCTGCGGCAGCGACTGCGCCGACTGCGCTGCCTGCGATCGCCTCATAGTTGAAAGAGTGAGCGAGTGCGAACGAGTGCGCGCGTTTGCCTTTGTGTGAAGAGTCGTTAACGTTACGTGGCGCTGCTTTGGTCTCGCCTGTGTACGTCACTCATTTGCGTGCCTGCCTGCTGCCTATGTGTGTGTGCCCCGCACCCCCTCCTCCTGTGCAGCAAAGCGCTCTGCTTGCTGATTAAATTACAGTATTTTTTTTTTGTTTTCAGTTTGAAAAACAACATTTTTGTTTTTGTTTTCAGCTCTCGCTGTCATTTCGCAATTAAAATATATTTTGCAACTCGTTCGGCTCTGTGCTCGGGCAGCGCTTCGGCTGTCTGGCTGGCCTCCAAGACAGGTGCTGCCGTTATGCGTTACGAAAAACACCGTTGCCCATGGATGCTCGCATGTACAGTTGCAAAATCGGGCATGTCGCAACCCTCCTCCACCCTCCACCCTCCACCACCCATTAGGGCCCTAGCATAGTGATGTCTGTCGTCGCCATTTGCGCAGCTGCCAGAGGCACACACACACACAGACATTCATGCATGACGTATGTGTATATACACGTTACGCATACAGCTGCAGCGCAGGAGAGCGCAGCAGATTGTTTTGTTGTACTGACATTTTGTATAAACATTTTTTGTATGCAGTGAATTGTACAATTTGTTGCTCCCTTTCCTGAACACATGGGCAAATACAGTAAATATATACACAGACTGAAATCGAAAGAATGCCACACGATCTTTGTAAGAAATACATATATATGCATTGTATACGAATTGTAAATTCTGTAAATTTGATCTTATGTAGTACTATATACTTATGCAAAAGCATGAGCTCAGTGCTCGACATACTTTCAATGCAATTTATTGATCAATTTGTGATCAGCAGTCAATTCTGTTAATTTAACAGAAGTACAAGTGTTAACAGCCATGTAACATGTTAATGTTAATAAAAGGCTATCTAAAAACTTTGAAAAAAAGTAAAATAACCTAGGTTAGATGAAATCAAATGAGTTTCAAATAAGTAAATGATGTAACAGCTGCTAACAAAGGCTGTTACTTTACATATAGCTGCAAATAACATGACTGTCAAGCGCAATTTAAGTCTCCTGTTATGTTTACATATGTCAGCCAATAAATTGTATGTAAATGCACATTCTCAGCTTGTTAATAAGCCAAAACCATTTGCCAGTTGAATATCATTTTCGGTACAGTACACAGTATGCGAACATGAAACAACTATTTTAATTTGCATGCAAACAAAATAAATGTGCAAAATCTGGCAAAAGAAATCGCTAGAAAAACAAACGAGCTAAGAAAAACAGTTTTCTAATATGCCAAAGGAAAAAAATAAAACAAATAAAGAAAAACAAGCGAAAAGTGTCGCCATTTTAATCAGAGATTTTGCTGAGTCTTTTTGGGCTGTTCAGCGCTTGGTTAGCTCTTTGGTTAGTTGCACTGGCCGCACGATGATGAGTCTGATATTTTCACGCTTAATCACTAACTGTCCCCATGAGCGGTGCCCCATTGGATGGGCGAACGTCTGTGGCGACACAAACATTTTGGAACGTGGCCAAAATACTTGACGCTGCAAATGAAATGGCAGAACGTTCGGCCAAATGCAAAATGCACAAAATGTCAACCAGCAGAGAGCAGCGAGCAGGGGGGAGCCGGCGGTTAGGGCTAGGGGTGTGCGCCAGAGGGGCGGGGCGGGGCGCGGCACATAAGAGCCGAGCCAAAAGATGCGACACGGACTGACAGCGGGAAAATTGAAAGAACAGCACAAGTAGAAAAAGAAGTAGAAGAAGACGACGACGAGCAACAAGATCCAAAAGGGAAAAACTTTAATTTTCTTTTATTGCGGTCGTCGCGCACAATAATTGCGCGTATAAAAACAAGATGAAAGCGCTGCTGGCTGCGTTTAGCCGAAGATTTAATACACTTGACGAACAGGAAAAGAAGAAGTAGCCGTGCTTTATGATAAAGTGATACGATCCGAAAGGCTGCCAGAAAAGTACAGACTGCCGAATTAGAAGGCTATGCAACTGAGAGGCGACCTTATAAAGAGAGAGAGGGAGACAGAAAGAGCGACAGAGAAACCTGGCTATGATGAATCGTTGTGCAGTTGACGAATATATATATATTAGACATAAGTATAAGAGCTTATATACTAGCTGTGTATAGAAGGATTCTAGGCATATATAAGAGTACATAGTTATATGTATAAGAGTATACAGCCAAGATAGGAGTATATATGCTCGTAACATATTGCATGGCATATATAGAGTATATATAGGAGGTATTAAAGTATATATAGTAGGTATTTACGAGTACTAGGTATACGAAAGAGTATATGTATATATATACTAGCTATAAGCATATATATTCGTGACTTCTTGTTACACATCGCATCACAATATTCGACTACCTTTTGTTAGCGTATAAAAAAACATGCTGAAAATATTCGGTTTCTGCGTTTGATGAGATTTTTTTGGGCGGCAGCGGCAGCAACAACAGCTACAGGTAATACGCGGTACAATAAAGTCAGCATACGAAATGCGTGTCGAGCTGCCGCACACACACACACACCCCCTCCCCTGTGTGTGTGTGTGTATTAGACGCGTGCTTGAATTGCTGATGATATACAAGCACACACACACACATATATATATGTATACACACGCATGCATGAATATTTGATAATTTCCATGAAAAAGATACATTTCAAAAATTGCCAGCAATGACGTTCAATAATGATGGAAATTGTTTTGCATGACGCACATTCATTTGCCTCCCTTTCGATTCACAGAATGCGAAAAGAGCATGAAATAAATTTAAGAAAGAAGAATAATAGGAAAATTAGTAGTGGAAAATGGAAAAGCTAAGGCTAGCTTTACACACAATTGCGATTGAAAGAAATGATGAGAAATAAAAGTGAAAACTTATCCAGGAGCAAAACGTGCGTTGAACTCTCGTTGAGCTCATTAAAGTTTACTTCTAAATGTTAATTAATGCGTGTGCGTATGTGTGTGTGTGTGTGTGTGTGCGTGTGTGTGTGTGTGTGTGTGTGTTGATTAGTGTAATACGAAGAAGCTTTATATTTCCCAGCATTTTCTTTTATGCCACGCTTTTCCACACTGTTGCCAACGCAAGCTACAAAATGCGAGGCGAGCCAAAAAAGACTCAAGAAAATTCTTGGCAAATGTTTTACGTTAATTGAACGCCAAGAAATACCAAAGGCAACATTGACTATGTGTGTGCGTGAATGTGTGTGTGTGTGTGTGTATATACATTATGTATACGCATGCATATGTGTGTGTTATATGTGTACATAATTCAGAGTACAATACATGCTCAGCTGTTGTTGTAGGTCTCGAATGCTGCTGGCATGAATACACACACATCATACATACACACACACACACATACACACACACACACACACACACACACACACACACACACATGTGCGCTGTGCGTGTCGGCCTGTTCAGTGGACACTTGACCAACTGTGTAACTGGCCAATAAAGACTTTTATATTGTTGACAATTGAATGAGTTGAGAATTTGGTTTTGGCTCGATTTTGGACTCAATTTTGTTCTTAATTACATTTAAACTTAAATTGCGACAATTATTACAACACAGCAATTAATTACTTTGAATGTACAGCAATATTAATTATGCATTTTAATTGTTAATTAGCTAGGTCATTACCTAATTTAATAGATCACTAATGAATTAATTGTAATTGGCCAATTTTTCGGTTTTTACTCTCAATTAACTCGTAAAATATAATTATCATGCGCTTTCCAACGTTATTAATTATAATTATAATTATTAGTAATTAATGACTAATAAGTTATCGAATTACAATTAGTTGCAACACTATTTAAATAATTATTTGTACTCATCATATTAATTTAAACAACTTCATTGTTAAGTTCTTTAATTATTTAAAGATTTTTAATTACCAATTTAAATATTAAGTAATTACTTACTTTTACTCATAATAACTTCAGCAATAGTCATGATATTATCAATTTTAATTACTTTAAGTAATTGAATTGCTTTTCTTTTAAACATTCAGTAATTAATTAGTTTACAAATTACATAATTTAAATTACTTGAGTAACTTTTAAACTTTCCTACTCGTAATGAAGTAGTTAACTAGGAAAATCTAAGCGCTGCACATAAAACATGCAATCAAAAAGTAATTTAAAGTAATTACAAGTAATTAAAGTTTTATAACATTACAGTATGTTTAAGCAATGCTATTAATAAAGTATTTTCAAGTAATTATACGGAATTAAATCAATATTTAACGGCATATACTACATAATATGCCTAAATAAGGCAAGTAATTAAGTAATTTCAAGTAATTATAAGTAATTAAAGCCGTAATTACAGGCATATATGAGTTATAACACTCTAAAAAGCTGCTTACCTGCCAAATGCCGTTGTTTGAGCAACATCAAAGAGTCCAAAAAAGATATAGTCCAACGTTCCCAGTGCCAGTTAACATGTTAATTACAGCCATATATATATATCTGTTTATATCTATATATCTGTATATTTGTATTATTTGTTGCATATGGCAAAATGAATGCTCTTAAGCCACTGGAGTGTGTGAGTGAGTGTGTTTGGGTATGTGTGTGTGTGTGTGTGTACTTAAAGGTGTTTTATTATTATTTTATCCTGATGATGCTTGGATTCAGTTGTTGTCGCTGTCAATTGACGTCGTATCTGACGTCGCGCTGCGTCGCGTTCGCTCTGCTGCCGAATTGTGTAACTGCAATCGAAGAATATGTCAAAAACAATAGTTATTCGCTTGAGTAGAGGCTCTGCCAAATGTTTAAATATAGCCAGGCCATATCTATAGATACTCCATTTGCGTCATGTATTTCAAAATGGATTCCCCGCGGACTCACGAGTGGCTACGCACCGCAAATGCCTTTCAGATGCAACAAGTCCGAGCTTGAAACCCGAAGACCCAGAATTTTATGTTTTGCGGTTTTATGCAAGCGCTATTAACTTTTGGCTATGCTTGACTCGTTGATACCCTGTAATTGGGTGCAGGTGTGCTTTTACGATAATATGTGCTGAGTTTTATGAGAAAAAAGGAAGCTAAATAAAAATCTGGTTCGGAATTGAGAACTATAGAATAGAAGAACTTTGAGGTTGAAGCGAAAGGAGTTTTTGGCCAGAAAACCTCAAATTCTTTAGCTCGAGAATTCGTGTAAATTAAATTTGTAGTTTTCTAGGGAAAATACTATACAAAACTCTGCTTAAATTTGTAGAGTATTAATATCTGTTAACTCCAAATTGGTTCCTTGAATTGATTTGAAGTGGAAATCAAAGACTTGACTCAATATAATTTTTGCATATCCTTTCTTATGCCCTGCTTCTAGTTAACATGCTGACTGGCAAGAGCATATGCCCTGTTTTGCCACTCTTTTACAGGGTATACACATGAGCAGAGCGCGCGTGCTGGTCCCAACGCCCACATGCCAGGCATTGCCTGCGCTTCTAGAGTGAGTGTACATGAGTGTTATGACTGTTGTGCGTGTGTGTTTAAGTGTGTGTGTGTGTCAGTGTGTGTGAGTGTGCGCATAGTGTTGTGTGTGGGTGGCTAATGAAATGCTTCAGCAGCAGCAGCGACAGCAATCGCATCCAGCCACAACCACAAACAGCAACAACTACAACTACAGACGCACACACACTGATCAGTGTGTATATAGGTGGGGAGTGGGGCATGCATTGTAACGGTAGCTGTGTATCTGTGTGTGTGTGTGTGTGTGTGTTGCCATGGCCCCTCGCAAGAAGAGCTTTTCCAGCGGGTCCACATTGTCTGCAGCATTTCCTTTTTTGCTATGCGTCGCAGTACAATACAAGCGAGAGTGAAAGAGAGGCAGATAAAGAGTGAGTGAAAGAGAGAGATGGAGAGAGAAAGAGAGAGAGGGGGAGAGTGAAAATGACAGAGCTGCTGCCAAAAAGCAAACAAACGTAGCCGAAAATTCAGGCAACACAGTTGTCTATAATAAATTCTACAATATTTCTCCCTCTTCTTCTCACACCCCCCACCCCCACACATCCTCGTGTGTGCCCCTACGCTCCCGCTAGACCCCCCCTCGCCCATTGGTTTGTCTTGATTTTCGACATTTTTGTGCGTCTTCTTGTGGCGCTTTTCACATGATTTTTATGACATGCCCTATACGTCGCGCGCACGGGACAAACAACTTTTCAGACCGTACGCCCACCTATGACAGAGGGAAACGAAGGAAAAAACTGAAATGGAAATGGAAATGAAAATGTCGAATTCAATGGGGTGACAAGACAGCACGCCCCCCCCCCCCCCCTGTCCCACCACCTGGTTGGGGGCGCCGCAATTAATGAATAAGTTAACAAATATTCTTGTAAATATTTTCCATGATAAACTCGTGCCTCACTTTTGTTCGACTGTGTTTGTTGTTGTTGTTCCTGCTGGGGTTCGATTTTTCTTTTGGCTGGCATTTTAAGATTTTTTGTTATTTTCTCTGTCTTTTTTTTTTTTGAAAATGGCGTCGTGTTTTGCGGGCTTTTCGTAATTCCTGGCATTTGGCCAAAGTCTACACAAATTTGCGTAAATAAACAACAACATTTTGTTGCAATTTAGAAAGAGTCGTTAATGCTTCTAGAAGCACAATAAAAAATTCAAACAAAATAAAAAAGAAGAAAATAATAAAATATATATTAAACAAAATATGCATTAAAAAAATACAAACAAAAGGAAAGAAAAAAAAACAAAAACAAGCTGAAAACATTGCACGAAGTTTGCACAAAAAAAAGAAACAAGTAAAAGTGCTCCTCTCGGGTCTGCTCGACTTGGGTATACCCTGCATCTACTTCTGCTAAAGCCAAATGCAAATATGAAAAAGTGAACACCTGATATAGATGCATGTATTTATACTAGAAACTACATCACGAATTTGGTGATTGTAGGTCTTAACGTCTGAGAGATATGTTCTTAAATCCTTATTTCGATAACGATATTTATCGATTGCTTGAAAACGGGTCAAGTTATCGCCGGTCTGAAACAAAAACTCGTATTGCAAGGGCTTTAAGGAGGAGGAGCTACGTTTACAATTTCAAGTCTCTAGCTCTTATCGGTTCTGAGATCCATTCCATCCAGGACGGAAGAGCAAAAGGATGGAAAGTCGGATGGACAGTCAGACAGAAGGACGGACGGAGAGACGGACGAACGGAAGGAAGGAAGGAAGGATGCAAGGAGGGAAAGACGGACGGACGAACAGATGGGCGTACGGAAGAACGGAAGGACAGAAGAACGGAAGGACGGAAGAAAACGGAAAGATAGACGGACGGAACGCAAGGACGAACGGAGGGCAAGATGGGCGGAAGAACAGACGGGCAATCGGAAAAACGGACGGATAGAACAGAAGCACGAACAGGTGAAAAACGCACAGACATGGGCTAAATCATCTCGCTTCTTTTAATTTGCACCAAGCTAATATACCCTTTAAAGGCATTGTCAAGAGGTATTCAAAAGAAATATGCGCCGCGCGGCAAGTGCCAAAAAAAAGGGGACACAGCCTGCGCTCATAGAAGAGTCAGCTACACATATACATATAGACAAATACACATATACATATATATATATATACATATATATATATATATATGCTTTAGTATGCTATATGTATATACATATATATAAGTACAATAACTGCGCCTAGGAGCGGCACACATGTCTGGCTGCTTGCCTGGCTGCCTGCATTTTGGAGCGCAGCAAGTGGAGCCTATGCGTATTAAATTTCAACGGAAACGGAAATGCTTAGCACATGCGTTTTGGCATGACAGACACGTCTCTAAGCCCACTTACTGCTGCTGTCACCCCACTAACATTACAACCCCGCCGCCGCCGCCTCTCAATTAAGCCTTGCCTCACACAGCCTAAGCCTAAGCCTGACCCCGAGCATTTTTTGATGTCACGCAGCAAAGATTTCGTCTAGCAAAAGCCATTTCGCAAATACACTTAGATTTTTAAATGGAAATCTTATAAGGCTATCCGACTTATCAGCTATCTACCTATGTATATATATATATAGATATCCATATAAACTACGAAAGACAGCTCGTCAGACGACAATCGATCAGAAATCCAGCGGCATATCCATAAAAGTCCATGAAAGCCTGCTCTAGCAACATGCTGTATACCCTGCCAAGGTAGACACACACCTTGGTGAGTGTGAGTGTGAGCGTAGGTGTGTGTAGTGTGTGCAAACACACTTGAATTGTCAGAGCTTTCACACATTGAATGTAAAACCACTTAAAACACGTACCATAACAGCCGACAGCTGCACAATCACAACACACACAACACACAGGGACACACAGACAGAGAGCGAGAGAGAGAGAGACGTACAGCTGAGGTACATTGTGGGAGCTTAAAGGATTAGTTGGATTGAAACTAAGGAGCTTTACAGCTCTCGTTTGCCCCGCCAGGCATGTTAGTTGCTGAGCACAATGAAGATAATATATTGACAACAATGCAGCAAATGTACCGAGAAAACTTTAACTTGTTCGAGAACTTAAGTAATATGTATATTAAAACAAGCTGCCCTATTCTTATATTAATGTATTTTCTTTAAATATATGCTGATCTACAGCATTTTGTTTTTAAAAAAAAAATTATAATTCATTGCTTTTTAAGTTACAAATTGAATTTCAAAACTTTCTTTAAGTATTTGGCAGTATGCGTGGCGCCATCTAGCGTTCGTTATGCGGGACTGATCGTATTTAAGACGCTGCTGCTGTCAGCACATGTATTTAAATTTATTTATATATTGATCTGTCGATTGTGTATGTTCAATAAAAATTCTTTTGCATAACAAACAATTCATTACCAAAAAAAACTTGCCTGGCGTGGCGCCATCTAGCTGTGCTTACGCGCTGTTGATCGTGTTGTTTTTTTGGCGCCACCTGTGCGCAGCGATAATGCCGCGCGCCATCTGGCGGCCGGCAACATGCGTTGGAAACATTGCATGCAACAGCATGTTGCTTAACATTCTGTTAGGCACAAATTTGTTGCTGTTGTTGTAGTTGTTGTTTTTGTAGACTTTTGCGAGATTTTTCGTAAGTTAACAAACAACAAAGAACAGATGTTTCGACTTTTATTTTGGGAAATTTTATTGCTTTGACAGAATTTCACTTTTCAACACAGCGAAAAAAAGGCGTTGCTTTTGCTTTGCCCTTTCTTTTTCTTCTTCTTGTTTTGATCCCACTTGAAAGCACTTGAGCATAAATTGGGAAATTTATTTGATTTAATAACATTGAGCACATTATTGTGGTTAATTACTATTTGGGTAATTTTAACACTTAACTGGGCGTGCGAAAGAGAGAGGGAGAGAGGGCGCGCGCGAAAGAGACAACAGACGAGGAGAGCGAGAGAGTGGGAGAGAGAGCCGGAAATACGCGTCCTTCGGCGCGAAATACGCTAAAAACAAATTGAAAATTGCAATTTTATTTTGTATTTTAATCACAATATTTGTATTTATATTAATTGATTTTGCATTGAATTGAACGCGTGTCGAACAATTGAACGAGGATCGATACGAATTCGACTGCGGATTGAATGGGATCGAAATGAAAATATGTCTGTGCACGATATTTCCTACACTTCACTTTACTGGCGCACAAAATCGCATATACAACGAGAATGTATAATTATAAATAAATGTTCTATAAAAAACGCTTTTTTGTTCGTTTGTTTCGCTCTTGCTTTGTTTTTGTTGTTGTTGTTGTTGTTGTTGGCGTCGCGTGTGTGTGTGTGTGTGTGTGTGTTGGTCTTGTGTGTTTGAGCCATTTTAATTTTAGAGGTAACCCAAAATAAATAACCAACAATTCCGCAGAACGCGGCCAGAGAAGCACCTTTACGAAAAATGAAACAAATTTCAAAGTCCCAAAGCGAACAATTGCAAATGCAGGTGCCAGAGACAAGACCACGCCCCCGCGCCCCACCCACCATCGCAGCCCGCCCACAAGAGCGTGTTAGCTCGGCTTTTGCCTAAGTTAAGCATTTTTAAAGTCGTTTTAATGGGATTTTCAGGCGAAATGCGTTTTCTCTTTGGTTGTGTGCGTGTGTTTGTTGTGCATGTGTGTGTGTGTCTTTGTTTGCGTTGTGTGTTTGTACAAAGGATTTGCGGCTTGACTCGGAGTCTGAGTCGCAAAGCCAAAACGCAACCCAAACGCGAAATGATTGAATAAATCCGCAAAGCTTCAGCCTGAAGAAGCTGGCTAAATAAATCAAATAGAAATAAAGCAAAGGAAACCCTCACAGCCTACAAGTAAAATAATATCTGCATAAAATGAGCACAAAAAACAAAAAAGAAAAGAGAAAGAAATCCCTAATGAGATTATAAGAAGCAGCGCCATTTAATAATCAATTACTATTTCGGGCACGTTTTAAATAAAAGCCCGGCTAAAAATACAAGTATCTACTTAAATTTATACAGCAACAACAAATGTTTCAATCGAATGATTGAAGCTATTGTTTTCCAGTGCAAACGCCCAATTAGGCATTTTTCATGTGCTATCGATATCGATGAAAAGAGTTGCAAAGCCGCTTGATCGATAACAGATACTGTTAAAGTTATCGGGATATGCATATCGATCATAAATACTATTAAAGTTATCGATAACACACACTTTTCAAGATATCGACATATGCATATCGATAACAGATACTTTTAAAGTTATCGGAATATGCATATCGATGACAAATACTATTAAAGTTATCGAAAACACACACTTTTCAAGATATCGACATATGCATATCGATAACAAATAATTTGAAATATATCGACATACACACATCGATAATTAATATGGCTTAAGTTGTCGAAGCTTGCCAGCGAGCTGTTCAAAGAATATTATCGATAAGACCCAACTAGGATAACTGTTATCATTATCAATAGATGCATATCGATTATTGTTGCAGGTAACTTTAGAAAAGTCAACTGTTCTCAAGAATTCCCCAAAAGATCGCTAAACCAGATCGATATAAAGCAGCCTATATATTATTTTAGTTGGACATTGAACATTTTAGGCGTGTTATCGATAACAACTGCCTATCGATGAATGCAACAGAGCTGAGCACAACTCTTTTCTATGCAAATATATTCCCAGCCAAAGCACAGTACACAACGCACGCTTAGAGCAACAACAACAACAAGTTAATGCCGAATGCGTTTCGATAACTAACAAAACCGATAACTGCCATAGACAAGGACACACACACGAATTGCATACAAAATGGAAAACAATTCCTTTTAGCCGAATTTATTGAATGCGACGCGTTTGATTGCTCGGCCGATGCGCTAATAAAGCTCTTAATTCTGGCCGATCGCTCGAAATAAATCGAAAGGCCGACGCGTGCACGCACACACACACACACGCACACACACACGCACACACAGACAGACGGAGATACAGGCGCATACACTGAAATATATTTTAAAATTAAAGCAATTTTACGTATTATTTTTGGTTTTCTTTGTTTTTCTTATAAGTATTTTGGTACGCCGTCTTGGTCTCAGTGTGTTTGTCTGTGTGTTGTGTGTGTGTGTGTGTGTGTGTGTGTGTGTGTGTTGTTGCTTTGACTGCGGATCTCCTTCAACTAAAAGAAAGGAAATCTGTTGTCGAGCATCTGTTGCTGCATTTGGAAATGGAAGCAAAGGGGGGGCGAGGCGTGTGTGTTGATTTTTTCATAAAATAATATATCGCAAATATTTTTATAAATGCCACACAAAACTGGGCATAGAGTTCATAACAATTTGCCAGACTTTTGCGCGTAAGTTGCATTTAAATTAACTTGAACCAGTAGGCGGGGGGCAGGGCGGTGCGGGGCGTGGCGCGTCTCTGTTTAGACTTGCCTTGCCAAAAAAATGTGTGTGCGTGTGTCTGTGCATGTGTGTGTGTGTGCTTCGTATAATTTTTAAAATTAGCACGCAAGTGAAATGAAAAAAAAACATCAATATTTTTACATACATTTTTCAATATGCACGATTTCTATGGAATTTCCAACAAGGAGTTATTTTTAAACGGGACGGCCGCATGCTGCTGCTGCTGCTGTGTGTGTGTGTGTGTGTGTGTGTGGGGGGGGGGGGGGGGGGGGGGGGGCGTATAGGGGAGGGAGGGCGTTGTCTTGTGTTGCGGGGCATTCAAAAAATGCGTCTGTTTATTGTCAAAAATCCTTTTCGCAGCGTCAAGTGCGGAAATAAAATGAAATGCCTCGCTCTCACACAGTCTCTCTCACTCCCTCCCCCTCCCTCTCTCTCACCACTCCTCCCCCCCCCCCTTGCCACCTGCCGTTCCAGCTTTTGCGTAGGCAGGCAATTATCTTATATAAGCCAAATTGTTGCTTGTGTCACGTGCACATGCCTGACAATTCATGCCGTTTTTCATGCGCATTTTCTGCGACTTTTTTTGTGTGTTTTTCTCAAAGTCAGCTGCAACTTTTGCGCCTCGGCGTATGCTACACTTGGCCGCAATGCCAAAGCGCATAAAAGTTAATACACTAATGCGAAACTCAATGAGTTTTACACGCAATCAGATACACACACACACACCTGTACACACACACCTGTATTGCACGCTTAATTAAGGCCGTCAGGATTTAGCTGGGCGGGCATTACATTACACGCTCGCCCTCTAATGGAGCGCGACTAAAGCCCGCCTCTGTCTGTTACAACTTGCGCTTAATATCTAACGCAACACACACACACGCTCGCACACTCGCGCACACACAGACACACACACAGACGCACACCTGTTGTGTGTATGTAAGCGTAAAATTTTATTGAAAGTGATGAATTAATGAGGCGTTAAATGAATAAATGTGTATTCTCTTGCCGCCCTATTGAACCGGAAGTTGGCCAACAACAACAACTAGAACAACTACAACAACAACAACAACAAGAAAATGGCGTAAAGACCTTTTTGAAATGCTGCGCATTCACACCCTAAAAACTAACTGACTTAATTATTGAAATGAACATTATTCTAAAGTTGAGGCTTAATTAATGCAATAATTTAGATTTGTTTGCGATTTTGCTGGGAATTACGAGACAGCACTCGAGACTCAACTAGCTACGTATTTAACTATAAATAGAATTTAATTATATATTAAATGTAATTATAATTAAAAAAAAGTACAGCATAATGTGCTTAACTGTCTCCAATTCTGAGACTCCCAAAATGGGACAGTTATTCGAACTAATTGTATACCCCTTGAGAGGGTATTACATGGTATTTTGTCAGAAAATGTGTAACACATAAAGGAAACCCGTAAAAGATCCAGAATCCTACAGCAAAAAATTAATATAATTGTGCAGCTATATTTAAAGTAGACCTATATATTGAGGCAGCTTAACACTTTATGCGGTACATCTAACAGACATCTAACATACATCTAACATGCATCTAACTTGCAGTTAACATTCATCTATCATACATCTAATATACCTCTAACATACATCTTACATATGTACATCTAACATACAACTAACATACATGTAACATACATCTAACATACTTCTAACATATGTACATCTAACATACATGTAACATACATCTAACATACACTTAACATACATCTAACATAAACCTAACATACATCTAACATAATGCTAACAGACATCTCACATAAATCTTAAATGAAAAGAGAAATGAAACTCACCTTCAATATTCCGGCTGCAGTCTGTGGAATTCTTCATTAAATATCAATCTGCAAGCGAAAAGATTTATAAATTAGATGAGCTTATAAATATTATAAAAAGATTTTTATGCCAAAAGCAAATAATCATTCAACTCTGACTGCTCTACATCTCATACATCAAAGTAAATATGTTTTAAGTGTTATTCAAACTAGAAAATCATTGAGTTTTCTTTGTATTTTCTTTTCTTTTCACTTAGATTATGTTAAATATGAGCTTGAATTGTTAAGGTAATCATTAACTGCGCTGGCGAGAGCTTAATAATAGACCCTGTTTAGCAGAGGGCGGTCGAAACTAATTTGGAGAATAACATGTTGTGTTTCTTTAAATTAGAAATTTAATAAATGTTTTATGGTCTAAAATGGAGCCGTTGAGAGTTTACGAGATTTGCTTGGAAGTCAAAAATATATATATATAGAATCTGAGAATTGTGTTTCTCTATGTCGCCCTCTCCCTGTCAACGTTCTCTGTCTAAAAGTCTGTTGCTCGACTTCTTGCTATTTCTTCATATTTCTCTCTCTGTCTTACAGTCTCTCCCTTTCGCTCTCTTACCTTTCTGCTTTATTCTCTCTATCTATCTACATGTCGATCTATCTGGATTTATCTATATATCTCTATACCTATCTCTATACCTATCTCTATTTCTATCTCTATCTTTATCTTTATCTTTATCTTTATTTTTATCTCTATCTCTATCTCTATCTCTATCTCTATCTATATCTCTATATCTATCTCTATCTCTATTTCTATCCCTCTCCTTTTCTCTCGCTCTCTGTCTCTATCTTTCTCTCTCTTTCTCTCACTTTCTTTCTCTTTATCTCTCTGTATTTTTATCTATCTCTGTATCTATCTAGTTGTACCTCTCTATCTAACTCTCTATCCATCTCTCTATATCTCTCTGTCTCCCTCTCTTTCCCTTTCAGTCTTTCTCTCTGCCTCTCTATCTTTCCGTGTCTCTCTCTGTTTTTTCGTTATGTCCAAACATACATTTTTTTGCCCAACTTTTTAGACTTGCAAATCAAATGTGAATAAATAAAATTAAAAGTTTGCTTTAAACTAGGCCAAAATATTTCTACTTGACGTTCGACTTTGGCAAACAGTTAGAATTAAGCGCAATTCCAGTCAAGTTGTTAGATAAGGCGTAATCTTAACCCAAATATGAACATGCATATATACATATGCATATATATGTTTCTATCTGCGCTGACATGCACACGGATTTAATAAATATATTGATATTTGCTTTGCTTTACTTTTTTGAATTCCCTGTGCCTGTTATTGATGATATGCCATCGAAATGCACGCGCTATTAAAAACCAATAACTAACAAATACACGCCCAACAAACACACTCACACACACACACACACACACACATGCAGAAAGGATGTTATACATGTGCTATAACAAGCCATTAGCACCTGGATAGGTAAATCGAAGCAAAGTCCCAACCAAGTTCCAACAAGTGCCAGGCACGCAAAAGAATTTTCCCAGCACACACACACACACACACACACACACACACACACATAGTTATGCAAAATGTATAAAGACAAATAGAAAAATACGCGAAAATCAAAGAAAATGCAATTTAGTTTTATGTGCTCGCGGCTCACAGCGCCAAATAAAGCCAAATAAATGTTATGATAGATACCAATTTGTTTGCCATTTGCAAGGAGAGAAGAAGGGGAGGGGTTGGGGCGTTGGCTATCAAAATGCAAGCTGCGTGCAACGCGGTGTCAATCACACAAGAGCTACGTTTCGCCAGTTGCCGGAGCTGCATGTGGCATGTGGCAAGTTGCGAGTGTGGCAAGAAACTACCACAGAAGCAGGCAAACAGCGCCGCATTGCATTTCCGCTGCGACAGATAACAACAACAATAACAAGAAGTTGGTATGCAAATGCAGGTTCTAAGCGACACAGAGCCCAACCCAACCCAAGCCCATTCACTTCGTGACTTTGGTCAGCTGCGTCGCAAAACCAAATGGCAAAACTTCAGTTTCGCTTTCGCTTTTTCTTCTACTTGGCATGGGCGCGGGCTAAGGAGAAAAACTAAACGAGGGGCACTCAAATACTTAGCTAAACGAAAAAGTATTCAAATATGCACTTTATATTAACAAAGGAACAAATTTCGTTAAGAAATCAGAAATATCCCAAGCATGCTTATAAAAGGGGAAATGGAAAGGGACCAAAAAAATAACCGAAGTGTAGTACAGTTAGTTTATATGTATATAAATGTAAGAGCGCGCTTACCTACTTAAGCAAAGCTGCTCTTACGTACGCACACACAACTCTACCTCTCTCTCTCTCCCCCGCTCTTTTGCTGGAGGTGAATTGCGCTGAACTGCGCGCCAATTTGCTGCCCAACTACACATATTTAACTACACGTATTTAGACATTACCCAAATATACACATGTCACTCATGTATCTAATGCAGTTTAATATTACACACAGCTCATTTGAATAGCTTTTAAACAGCATTTAATTAACTAGTTTTGCCAGCTAACAATTTAATATGCGCGCGCAGAGGACACGACCGATCAATAGGACAGACGCGCACTGACTAAATTTCACCATTAAGCTGGCGCCCACGCTCAGCCGACAAAGAGCATGGAGCTGCTGCTCACTGCGCTGCGCTCTCAGCTAAGATAACGGGATCAAAAGCAATGCGACCAATGGCGTGCAGCGATGTAACCAAATGAATTGACACTCGCAATTGCAGCCTACACTTCACACACATAACGGGATCAAAAGCATTTAGATAAAGAGAGAATTAGTTATCAACAGAATTAAATTCAACATTAAGAGCAGCCACTCTTTGTTGTGTTGAATATGTTTTGAACAGCCCTCGCATTGCATATTAAATGCCAAGTGCATATATTCATATGCATTTTCCTGTACATGTCCTTGAAATGCACAGCCGCAACGAGTTGTGGCAAGTGTGTGGCGTTGACTGTGAACCTGTCTGCGACTTTGGCACTGTGCCTGTAGCCTGTAATTGATAAGCCATGCGTCCCGCTGCATTGCCTCCACGTACAACTGTCAGGCGAATGCCATTTGCATTTCTAATCGAGTTGAAAATGTCGCCGGAAATGGTCGCAAAACATAAAGCCAAACACACAACAAGACACGGAAACACACACACGCACACACACACACACACACACCGCGCAGCTTTCGCATATTTTGATTAGCGGCAGGCGCTAAATTTTGACAGACAGCAACAAAGCCAAAGCAAACGCCACAAAGTATGCAACACATTTGCAGCAAAGCCAAAAGTCAACAGCGGCAAACAGAATTTGTGTTTATTTTGCAGCTGCTTTTTTTAGTTTGAGCTAATTTTAGCGTCAAAGTTTAAAGTTGAAAGCATTTCCGCATTGCATGTTGTTGCTGCGCTGACGTCAGCGGGCGACGCCGAGCAGCCATTTTGCATGCAATATTCAAATGTTAAGCAAATAATTTATGCACTCCGTTCAGCGGGCGTGGTGGTATGGGAAAGTCCCAAAAAGCCGCGACAGCTAATTGAAAATTCCGCTGCATAGCCCGGAGGCGTTTAAAACTCAACTCGGAAATTGAGTGAGTGTCGCATTGAGCCTTGAGTGAGTGTGGCTGCTGCACACGCATTGAGCTGTGAGTGCGAACTGGAATATAAACACGCCCCCTAGCGTCAGCAATTGCAATTTCACCAGTGCGCCAGCCAACCCTCGTTCAAGTTCAATGCAATGCGAAGAGGGCCACAACGCTGTCCTTGACGTCGACACTGACGCCGGCGCCGACGTCGTCGCTGACGCCGACGCTTATGCGAATCGTGCGACAAAGCTGCAAATTTGCGATAAATGTGGCAAGCGGCGGGCGCTTGCGTTGGCGCACGTCGTTTTTGCGTAATGTAGGCGTGCGAAGGCGTAACGGTCAGCGCTTGCAATAGTCCAAGCGTGTGGTGGGAAGGTGAATTTCACACTTGTGTCCGTGTGTTGTGTTTGTGTATGCGAGACGATTGGTTGAGTAAAGCCCAAAGGTAAACAATGCACTGCGAAATGGGAGCAATGGAGAGTATACGACTAGTAGATGCCCTATTTAAAGGTATAACAAAATGTTTGTGTATGCCTGTGTTTATGGAATAAGTTTTTATCTAATTGGAACAACTTTTCTGAATGTGTATAATAGAGGAAACTAAATGGGATTTTCGACTGAATACAAACCAAATTAAGTGATCCCGCTTTCAATGGGTCGTATGCCTAGTGCCTGTTACATATATATTTCTGCGAGAAATTCTTTTTAGTATTTACATGCACTTGAATAATAACTAAAACTAAAGCGTTTAGCGGTATCCACTTTTTGTTTGTTTGTGTTCTAATTAGTTTATGCGAAACGTGAAGGAAATTGTATAAGAAAATGCGATTATTTGTCTCAGTGCACAGGTGACATGCAGGTATTGTCGAATATTATATATCATTCGAAACATATTGACAATGTGAACATAACTCTTACTATACAAATATGAAAAAACAAGCTCTTAGCATTTTATATGCTAACAAAAAGCGCTCGTGATCTGGGCCAAGTTAATGATATATTAGGAAAGTCGTTAAAAGTTTTACTAGCCTTGCAAACAGGTAGTAAAAAGCAATTTATCGCTAGACTTTTTTTGGCTGAAACAAATCAATTCACGCCATAAAAATGTGCACTAAAATTTGACAGAAATGCAATTTGCTTGAATTAAATGCAACAATGCTGATAAGAAGACCGATAAGAACAGTTTGGGCATTAGTTGGATTCTGATTGGAAGCAGAACTGCAAATGCGTGTACAACACGCTGTATACGTAATATTTGAGTTGAATTTGCTTATTATTAATATGCACAATTTATTGACATCACGTGCGCAACTGCTGCAAAGCTCAGCAATTATATGTGTGTTGACAAATCTACATGCAACAATCACAAGTGTTACACACACACACACACACACACACATACAGAAATAAACAAACAATTAAAACAAACAACAAAAGGCGC